CCAAGGCCGCGCGGCCGAGGTCAGTGCCCCGCCAAGGCCGCGCGGCCGAGGTCAATGACCCCGTCAAGGCCGCGCGGCCGAGGTCAGTGACCCCGCCAAGGCCGCGCGGCAGAGGTCAGTGACATTACTGTAATATGTATATAATACATATAATACAATATAAAGTATAATATTATAAATATATAATAAATTATATGTATAATATGTATTATTTAATGTTATATATAATATAAATTACAGTCACGTTATTTTCACGTGTTGTTTTTCTACTCTTTCCTGTCACGTGACTTTAATTACGTTTTTAATTTTCTCTACATATACAACGAACTGTCTCAAAATCGCTTTTCATTATTTACTCTCTCGATCTTACCGATTCGATTCGACTCGATCAACCAACCAACTAATCGGCAACGCGGAAAAGAGGCAACAATCAAGATCGATAGAATCGATTCTGATTATTTGCACTCGCTTTTTCTAGTAGGACCAGTACGAACTCAAGGACATATACCTATTTATCAATATTAACTAAACAGACACTTTAAAATCAATTCGTTGCATTATTTTTTTATGTTAAATGTGAAAAAAAACAGCTGAGCAATATATGTGTATATGTAAATATATCTGTAGAAAGTTTTTAATTCTTTAGTTTCTGTAGATAATATACATTTAGCAACTAAACCAATTCATTTTTAATTGTTATTTGCAGCGTGCATAAGATTTGTAAAGAGAAAGTCAAGTTTTTTTCTCGAAATTTACATACACAATACACGCAAAACTGTTTAAAAGCATAAGTTTAGCGTATGCGGTGAGTACGCGGAAAACAAATTTTATGTATTGTGCCAACAAAATATATCTTTTGTCGACGAAACAAAAATATCAATAAACTCAACAAATTTTTCTTGCGCTGCCCATACAATAACTAAATTCTTGCTATTCTAGTAAATCTTTTTTTTTCGAATGTCGGTGCAAAATTGAAGGCTAACGCGCGATTTATTAAGATACATTGATACGTGACAACTTCGGTCGATACGGAAACAAAAGACGGAGAAACGAGGCTGTTTGAGAAAACTTATCGCCCTCTGTTACCGAAGACAAGCGGCGCTTTTAAATACATTTCAACGAAAAGCGATTTATGGTCCTGACAGATTTATGGAAATGTTCACACGTTCCTTTTAACGATTTTAGTTCCGGTGTGACAGTATACTTATGTCGTAAAGAAGTGACAATCGCATTAATCATCGTAACACTGTTATTGATTTAATCGCACGAGTTCAATTGCCTCGTGAACTACGGACAAGTGGTATAACTGTGAAAGAACAATTAAGCAGATACAGTATATGTATAGGATTTAAGATTTTGGGAAAATCGTTGCGTTAGAAACTCGCCACATATGTGTACGGGACAAGTGGAAGGGTAACAATATCGTCATACGATATCGTCCGCAGAGCCGTCGGTGAGAGCAACGAGTTGGAAATATTGCAAATCGATGTTACAAGACGAGCAAGAGATAAATCGAGTCAATCTCCATAATGTGTGTGATACATAGTTTAAACGTATGATAACGACGTTAATTGCGAAATAACAAACCGGATAAGACAATCAAAGCTGGCGTTAAAATAAAACTCGTATTGAAGAACAATGAGCTCATATATCAGAAAGCGAGGCGCTTATCGTCGTTGGAAAAGGACATTGTAAATGCGCAGGTCGACGAATAAACAAATCAGGGTATCGTGCGGCCGTTTTCTTCTATCATACATCTTACACAATAATAGTCGATGTAATAGTCGATGTAACAAAGTAATAGTCGATGTAACAAAATCGAAACAATTCAATACTAATTACTAAATGTACAATAAAGAAACAATAACTCTTATGTATAGAAATTTTTTTTAAATATATTATCTTTACTGATTATATTTTTAATGCGTAAGAAGAGAATTCGAAAACATTGCATAAAACTATGTATGTAGTTAACGTGAGTAAGATCAAAACAAAAATGTGTATAGTTCTTAACTACCAATTTAAACGTTTCTTTCTTTACTAGAAAGTCATTAAAAATTTATTCTTTGTATCTACACTTACAAATATATTCTATACAAATTGCAAATGTTTCATGGCTAGAAGGAGGGATATCTGCACTTCGACCGTGAACGTTATATATATGTAGCAGCGTAAATATGCGTACATACCAGTGTCACGATAAGACAGTTCGTTAAAAAAAGTGAAAGAATGTGGGCGAAAAACTTTTTAATATTTCCAATGTTGTGTTTGATAGTGAGATACAACGCGATACATGCCAAAAGAATACTATTTGTAGTACAACTTCCGTCTTACAGTCATCAAATAACTTATCGCAATTTGTGCCTAGAACTGCACAAACGGGGTCATGAAATCGTATCGATCACCACGGACCCGATAGGAAATTCTTCCCTGACAAATTACACGGAGATTAACTTGAATTATTTTTATAAAGGTTTTTTAGAGGCAAAAGAGGTTTCTTCTTATGAGAGTGTTACGCAAATAAGCTTGAACAATCCGTTTTTCCAAGAGGAAAGAATTCTCTGGAGGATAATTAATGTTTTCAATCGAAAGACTTTTGAAAATGAGGAAATAAAAAAGTTACTATCCGACAGCAACGAACATTTCGACGCAGTTATCGTGGAACAGGCATCCACACTCAGCATGAACGCTTTAGCGTATAGATTTAATGCTCCTCTCATAGGTGAGAACGGCGTGAGATAAACTTAAATTGTAAAAAGTTAGATTAGTTAGTTAGTTCGTGGTAAGATGTGAGACGCAATCATCATTTGTTACATGTATAATCGTCATGCTTACGTGTAAATATAATAATGCGCCATTATCGCACGTATACGCAGGTATTCAAAGTCAGGACGTTTACAATCACTTACGTTTCATGTCCGGATCCATTATTCTGCCGTCGCACGCTTCCAATTGGCAGTCTAACATGATTTTTGACAGAGACTTGTCGTTTTGGGAGCGAGTTGTCAATTTCTGCCAAGTGTGGGGACAAATATATCACATAATGAACGAGCACATCTCCGCGGAGGACGCGCTCGTGAAGAAGTACTTGGGGCAAGATATGCCGCATATCATAGATATAACGAAAAACATGAGTATATACCTCGTGAACAGACATCCGGCGTTCTCGCTTCACAGACTCGAACAGTCGAATGTCATATTTTATCATAGTTTTCATGTGGCAAAAGTGCCGCCCGCTCTGCCAGAAGTACGTATGCTTTAACTATTCCTAATGTTTCTCACATCTGAGATTCAATATTTTGTTTTATTTTTTTACGTTACACGTGCACTCGTGTTTATAACTGTTAGTTTGTGCTAGAACATAAAAACATTTATCGATGAAGCCGATGAAGGATTCATTTACGTTAGTTTCGGGACTATGGTTACATGGGAGCATCTACCAAGTACCACGCTCAAGGCATTCGTCGAAGCGTTCTGCGCGCTGCCGTACAGAATTGTCTGGAAATTTCCTAATAACGATCAATTACCGAAATGCAAGAACATACTGGCAGCGAATTGGTTACCTCAGCAGGGTATACTTGGTAATGTCGTATGAATGTAAAAGTATCAGGTTATCTTCAACAACTCTTCGTACATTTGCACCATGATGCAATTTATTATGCTTGATTTTCTTGTTCGTAGCTCATCCGAATATCAAGCTGTTCGTTTATCAAGGCGGCGTACATAGTACCGAAGAAGCTATTTATTACGGAGTTCCGGTCGTAGGATATCCCGTTGCATGGGATCAAAAGTACCAAGTGCAAAATATAGAAAAACTCGGCGTCGGAGTACGTCTTCCGCTGCACGAGACTTCGAAAGAAAACATTATAGCTGCTATACAGAAAGTTATAAATGATAAGGGGCAAGTTTTTGTGGTTGAAATTACACGTGCGTGAATCATTTCCGTACGCGCACAATTGTTTATTAACGATAAAAGTTTTATCCTTTCAGATACAAGGAGCGAATGGAACGTCTGAGTATACGTCTGAAAGACTCGCCTTACAACAGTCTTCAACATGCGGCGCAGTGGATCGAATACGTGATACGTCAAAATGGAACGCTTTTCTTACGAAGTAGTCTCTGCGACGAGCCGTGGTATCGACGATACGACTGGGACGTCATCGGGTTTCTTGCCATAGTAGGATTTATAGCATCCCTTATTTCTCTGTGGATTCTACTTCAGATTTTACGATGTCATTTGCGAATGTTATTTTACTTAAACGGTTCTGTGGTAGCTCGATCCATTACGTTGAACCAAAGATTTTGATATAATATATTGTATGTGTGTGTAACAGAAAGAACTTATTTAAATAATTTAAAAAGGTTTCTGGATTGTATATGTATAATATATATTTTATTCTATTTGTTAAGTAGAAATTAATTATTAATAAATATTAATTGTTCTATTTATCAAGTAGAAAATATAGCAAAACCTCAAACTTTTAACCGAGTCAAAATATTTTTTCAAGTGGATAGCAGTAAAATATGAAAGAGTGTATCATTCGATAATAAAATATATCAATAAGAAATATTATTTTAATAAGAAATATTATTTTTTAAAAGTAAAAACCGAGTAGCTTCTTTTCAAAAGTCTCTTCAGTTGCACACGTGTGTTGTGACTTCACCAAATTTATCTAACAAGAAAACGCGTAAATATAAATAAACTGTAATACACGCCTTGCACATTGCGGATGTGGTTTATAAATATTTTAAACGTGTTGCATGCAACTTTGCGAAAATACAAAATAAACTAAGATGTGATACAAAAACGTAGCCGTTATATTCTGTACTATCTATATGATCCGCTACAGTTTATAAACTTAGAAAATATATATGTAATAAATATTGACTTTAAAAAACCGGTAGAATATACGCTCTCATATTTACTTTTTGACTGTTGACTCTCGAAACGTTTATTGATATTCGTTCCATATTGTTAGGATTGCTGTTACATTTATTTATTTATAATACTTACACATAAACAGAAAAGACAAAACAATTTACAAGATTTTTAAATTTTTTTTATATTATACCATTTTTTACAAATACGCGTCATCACACACGTACACACAAAAATAAATATTCTGCTACTAAAAAAGATATTTTGACATTCCGCCACAAATATTACGTACAATGCTTTTTTTACAAATTCCACAAATTAGGTAATTAGTTGTAGAATAGACATATGTCAGATATATTTGCACAAAGAGACTAAAAATGAATCGGTTATTGACTTTTTTATAAACAATACTGAGTTTAAGTTTAAATTTATCGTAAAAAAGCAGTACATTTTTAATGATATGCCATTTACAAATTCTAATATAACCAACTAATATTATTCCTTTCGTCGTCGTGAAGGTGTTTCTAATATATTTTCTCGCGTGCGAATGCTCGCCTTCATTTTTCGATTCACACAGTAAATTAATTCTAACGTAGCTGCTGTACATACATAATGTTAGTTCCACTTTACGTGTTATTAACGTTAACTGCATGACCACCAAAATTTCATTATGTAGAGCCGAATAAGCGTAATCTCAGGATGCATATTCGCCTCAGTTCTAAGTTAACTAGCGGTATGACAAAGTTACATGATTACCCTACTTCGTAATAGAGGTATATAAAACACACACGTAGAACATTAGACTACGTCGAAGTTTTAACCAGGTCGGTTCTTGCTACAATATAGTGCAAGGTCGAAATCCTTAACTGCATGGGAATTGCAATTGTATACGACACGCTGCTTCAATTCTGCAGTATTTTTGTTATTCAAATGACACTTAATAATCTATTACAGAGAACTTTTTCAAAAGTTTGTTACGTGTAAAATTTTTAATTTAATTTTGAAAACACTGTTTAGACTTCACGTTGTTCATAATCAATCTGATAACAACTTGTAATACACGACGTTGAGGAAAAAGACGTTGTTTGCTCAAGCACGGGATAGGGCAAAATATATAGAAAAGCAGCTTTGGCGACAAAGTCAAGTAAGTCGGCGCCCTATCAAGCGATTGGTCGATCGGGATGTGGAAGAAGCCCGATATCAGAAAGGCGATCGCCGATACGCTACATCGAAGCGGACGGAGTGACTTCCTATCGCGATGCGGTAGAGAACGTGTCGTCTTTCGGTAACCGTACCCCCAAAGTGTCCCGGACTCATCAGCCGCGGTAACACCCAGGCTTACTCGACGCAGCCGACTTAACTCGAGCTTCGGTGGAAACTTCGTCGAGCGCGAAGTAGATTACCATACCACCGTCCGCACGTAGCGCACGCAGCTACGACGTGATACATACAACATGACGATGGTCCAAGTACTCCGCAGGATTTCGGAATTAACGTACCGCATCGTGCTCTTCTGTGAAACACCCCACCTTAGGTTTCACAGAGAAAACATGGGCAAATTCACGCGACGAGCGAGTGCAGCAAGTCGTATGTATGTGTAATATGTTCGATCGCACCGTAAACGCGAAACTTTTATTACGTAACTCCAACGTTCTCCACGTGTGAGATTCATATAATAGTTTGTGCTTGGTTTTCGTTGACGCTTTACGAAGAAAACTTTTGTAAACAAACGTTCGACTGGTAAAAATTTCCATCCAACATTACAACAACGTATATATCCTGTATTTGTTTTGTGAAATAACTAGAATATATTTTATCTCGATGCAAAGTTTAATTAATATATTCACAACCGTTGCAACTTTACTTATTTAAGCGATGACAGGTCCATAAAAGTTTCGGTAAATAAGAAAATTAAGGAATAATACACTCAGATGTGTGTGCCGTACATTGCGGGAACAGCCGCGAGAAATTAAAATAAGACAAAATCCGATAGAAGGGTTTACAACGGAGCGCTGAACAATGAGGGTGGAACAGAGAGGAGTGGGAGAGCGGCGTGTGTGCTCCTGGCGTTCCACATCAAGGAGAAGTTTCCCCTTTGGCTTAGCAGCGTCGCGCGATGCATTATGCAAGGTGGTAAGATCTGGTAGGGAACTGCCTGTCTTTCCGACTGTCTCCACCGTTACGCGTCGCAATTCCTAAACCAACGCGCGCGATGAGAGAAACAAAGACGAGAAACTCCGCGCAACTCCGTCGTGCCGAATTAGCGCCGGTAGATATTAACGATTCAAGTAGGCAACTGTACGCGGGGGTCGTGTGGTAAATTAGACATCGCTCGATATTCGCGAATTATTACGGTGCACGTATTAAGTTCCCCATACGCATGCATCACATGCTGTTAATTCGGAGAATAAGTATGTGCCCGAAAAAAAAAAAACAGTTTCCTTCCAACTAAATTTAAGACGCTATAAATTGCGTGAGGATATTTGGAGGATATTTTTACATCCTAAAGGATCTCTTACGAAGAATACACGTGAAACGCACACATGAAAAGATGAGAAGGTCCTTACGAGAAATCGTGTTCTTGTTGTAAGTATATTTTTATCTTGATACTTCTCGTCTTTGAGTTTTATTTTTTCATACGGTGATAAAAATATAACTTGTTCCGTAATAAAGATCCACTTTTGACTGCAAGGATATAACTTGGAAAATTAAATTTTCAATCCGACACAGATCCGATTATATCTGACATTAAACGTCAATTATGTTTCGGGAAAAAAAAACGAACAAACTGTTACGTGTCAATAACCAATATTTCCGACTTTACGCCGAGCAATGCCAAGAATGTGTGTCTCTTTGGACATCGCTCATCTCTCTCAGAGTCCTATAATGTGGTAATCTATGTGGCGTATGCGCGGCGCGTGGCGCGTTACGCGCGAGGTGTGCGTACTGCATGATTCGCGTATATCCGATACATACTATCGCATTGTAACAGGGACTGCAGCACGATCGGCGTTCAACCGATGTGTCAATACGCTTTCCCGGATCGGATTTACAAACCCTCGACTGTGTTGCTCGTCGACTCGTTGAACGTGTCAAGCTGTCGGTGAGAAAGTATGATATTAAAAGGTATACTTTGCGGCTGTTGTTGCACGTAACACGCGAATGTGCGTGAAAAAGACAATAGCTTTAATCACAATCAAACATAGAAATAAATAAATAAGATACATTTATCCGACATCAAATTGCTTACGCCAATTTTTACTGCAAAAGAGAGTTTAATAAATGATAAAAATGCTTCTTGATTACACAAGTGTGTTTTTTAACTTCAAAAATTTACACTAAACAAATTTGATTTTCTCTCTGCGCGTGCGCGCGGCAACGAAAACTGATATGGAAAATATTATAATTATAATGTGTTAACGAATATTTCAACGGCTCATTAGCATTGCACCCGTCGCTATTAATATTTATAATATATGTCGACGACTTATACGCGGCACGTCGAAACCAAATGCATCCCTGCGCAAATTGCGGATCACCAGGTTTGTTTATGAGAAAGCAAATATTTCGTCGCGGCCACGGCAAATTGTTTGCCCAGCAGCGAGCCCGCGTTGCGCGCTTTTAATTTGCACGGCTGGTCTGTCATCGAAATGGAAAGCCCAAAAATGCGAAGCGGATGAAAATTTAAGAGCGCGTTCCGTCGAAACGCGAACAACGCGAAAATATATCCTATAACGTTATTTCAGTTTGATATATGTACGCGATGATCTATGTACACATACATAGATCATATTTATTGTATATAAATTCGCCGATATATACTTCGATATACGCGCGAATTAAATGTGAAATTCCGCGAGTTGCAAAAAGTTTTCTTCTCGTAAAATTATTTTATGCGCCTCTCAGCGCATCAAATTAACGACCGAACACACAACGTGTATTATTACATCTTGCACGACGTAAAGTCGTTTCTGCAAGAAACGGGGAAAATTTTGCACGAGGCAACAAACGCGAGACAAGCGGCGCGGTCTGTCACGTAAACCGTACGTGTTACCGCGGTCGAACGTATGCACTTTTCAGCATGTGATACACGTTGAAGACGATGCACGAAGAGTCCTCCCGCCATGGGTGGCACGGGTGATATAAAACCGCACGAAATTGTTGCTCCCCTGGCGGAAATAGTGCTCGCCCCGCATCCGGAATTTCGGGACGTTTTGGGACGTTCATTATCCAGTAGCAGCCTCGCTTAAACGCGAGCACGTAAACCCGCACGATAAACATTCAGCGATATACAGGCGAAATGTTACTCTAACCGCGCCTCGTGTTAGTAACATATTCGGTAATGCATTTTCGTCATCTCGCTCTGCCCGTTTACTAACGTATGGAATTTATTTAATGCAAATTTGTGCGTGCAAAAGTTTTAATAAACACTAATTGATTCAAATATGATTGTTTATGTGGTATCGAATTTTTAAAATCGCGAACAAACAGTTGATA